AAAAATACCTTGTTTAAGTACTACTCTAAGGCATTTAAATCTTGTGAATAATCAACTCGGTCCTGAAGGTGGAAAGGCAATAGCTGAAGCTCTTTGTAAAAATATAACCCTAATTTCTTTGTATCTTTGTGATAATCAATTTGATTCTGAAGTAGGAGAGGCGTTGGCAGAAGTTCTTCTTACGAACACCACTCTAATCTCCTTATACCTTAGTAAAAATAATCTTGGTTCTGAAGGAGGAATTGCGTTAGCAAAAGCTCTTTCTAAGAATATTTCTTTAGCATATTTAGATCTTTCAAATAACAATCTTGATTCTGGGGTAGGAAAATTTTTAAACGACGCTCTTTTCAAAAACACCACTCTGATCTCCTTAGAACTTGAAGGCAATAAAATTGATGGATATTTATATTTAATCGATACTTTTCTTTCAATAAATAGAGATAATGACGAAAAAAATCCTTTAATATTTTAAATTTAATATTAGATATATATAATTATACCATAAATTTTGATAATATATATATAATTATATTATAAATTTGATTAAGTTTATATTGATTATAACTTAATCTTTGTATTTATATATCATACATGTACCTATAAATATTACAATTGTATATCAAATATTTCATTAATAATTAAATAATTTATATATGTATTAAATTTTGCAAAAATGTGAATCGATAAAATTAAATCGATTTTCGTAAAATCAACAACGTATGTAAAGTTTAGCTCCAACAACAACTCTGGATACTGTGGTTTCGTTGCTAAAGTCAAACTCGAATGTTAGTTGTATATTATCGCTGCGCCACTTTTTTTTTTTTGAGATAAGAAACCTTCCTTATTGTAATGAATTTTTTTTTACCGAAATTCGTTTTCGAATTTTAGCCCGAATTAAGCTTAATTCGGGTCAAAATTCGCTATTTCGAGAATTTACGATATATTGTAGCTTTACATCTTTCTTAACACTCCCGAGGTGTCATAAAGCACCTCGAATCCCTTGCACTCATCCTTGCACAATAATTAACCTGTTTATTAATACCATCGGATTTTCCTTTACTACAAATCTAGTGCTTGTATTCAATTAAAGGTTATTCGAATATTTAATGTTGAATGAAAAATGTGCAAAGTTTAGCACCAATAGTTAGCGGAGAGATTTCGTACGTACTGTACGTACGTACAAAGATAATTTTGCTAAGCTAATAAACCTCGTGACACCGTTATTTTCTTCTCAACGTTACAATCAATAATTTCTAGTAAATAAAATACAACAATGATATAGATTATGAATTTAAGGTTAGGGTAGTAGAAAAATCTCATCTTTTGCTATAAGTCAGAAACAAATAGGTAAATACTTTTATAAATTCTCAAATAAAACTTACCCTTACGTTACAATAGCATATCAATATTGTATACGTAGATGTAACGTTAAGTGCTATTGACTGGCCCCACGAGTATCATCTTAGTTTATGATGTAACACTAGAGTTCACCTATCATATGCCACACAAAGATTTCTGAACGATGCTAGCGGTGTACTAAACCATATGTGGTCATAAATAAAATGTATTTTTAGATGGGCGATAGTTTTATAATAATTGTTACAAAATTTTAGATAGATGCACAGCTCTAACGGCTTGATAGTTTTGGATAAAATTTGACATAAACCAGTATTACGTCTCTGCAAACAAAGTTATTCTTATATTTAATCATGAAAAAATTTTAACACACTATATTTTTCTTTTTTTCTTTAAAAAAGTTTGAATATACTATATTTTTTTCTTTAAGGGAACGAAGAAAAGGCTTAATTTGGGGGTTTTTTTTTTTAAAAAAAAAATAGCTCTATAACTTTGTTTGTGGAGATATAATACAGGTCTGTGCAAAATTTTATCCAAAACTATCGAACCGTTAGAGCTGTACATCTATTTAAAATTTTACAATCCATATAAAAATTTTCATTAATAAATTTTAATCAATTATTTAAATATGCAAAAAATAATTATATATTAGTTTATATTTTTGCTTAGTGACTGGACTCGTCAACTCATGACTCGAATAATTTGAGTTTATCACGATTCGAATCATCATTTGTGAGAATCGCGAGTATTCGCGAGTCCGCAGTTGTTAGAGCCTGGTACCCAAATCTAAATGTAAGTTAAACTTTCGTGATTGATATTACATGATTCGAGTACTCTTCAGAGCTTAATTCGTGAATCACGAGTTGTGACGAGCCCAGATTCTATTTTTGCTATAGGAACTCATCATGCGTGTCAAAACAATCTAATTCTGTAATTCTGGTTAAGTTTGCAGATCGTTTGACCAGAATTAGATTGTTTTGACCTATCCAAAAATTGAATTTTGATTGGACAAAAAAATTATTTGTGTACCTGCATCACCTGATCAAAATCGCAGATCATTTGACCAGATTTAGTTCTAGATCTGACCAAATGATCTGCAAATTTGACCAGAATTATGAATGATGGTGTAGATCCGCTGATACAGTCTTTTGTCGAAATAAGTACTGAAGTATTAATTATATTTATTAGCCAGGATATTAAAAATCTGGCATATTAGCCGGTCAGTTAAATATCGACTGCGGCTAATAGTCGACTATAGTCGACTATAGTCGTTAACCGAAACCATCCCTAATGGTAAACTCAACCATTTTGATCAAGAGGATATGATAAAAAAGAGCCGAAAAGGCGATTTGATAAAATCAATAAAAGTTTGTACAAACACGGAAAGCAACAAAAGGCTAGTATCTATTTAACTGATATTGAAAATAATAATGGGATTCATGAAATTGAAATATATTACGTATAAGCCAAGATCTAGACTAACAAACCTTGCCTTTTATCGTTTTAATAATAAAAATTACTGCTAAAACTGGCGCATAAAAGGCTTTTAAATGTTGGGAATTGATATCCCACACCCCTTTTTTAATAATGCCACACCCCCTCTAAATGTAGATTATTTTAATTTTTTTAAACTTCAATCGAAAGCACCCACCTGATCAAATTCGATGGGGTTTTTTCTTTTAATTGTAGGAATCACCAGAATTCGAATAAAAGAAAGTTCATCGAATTTGGTCAGGTGTGTGTCGAGATATTTTCGATCAAATTTTAAAAATAATTTTCTATTTTAATAGACGCCAAATTTTCACAAACCTTTTATTGAAGATATCTCAACACCCACCTGACCAAATTCAATAAACTTTTTTTTATTCGAATTCTAGTGATTTCTACAACTAAAAGAATAAAGCTTGTTAGATGGGTGTCGATATATCTGCGATTAAAGTTTAAAAAAATCAAAATAATCTACATTTACGGGGGTGTGGCAATATCAATTCCCTAAATGTTTTTTTGTAATTATTATTGTAGGATACCGATTTATATATTTTGGTCTGTAATTTGTTTTGCTCCAGAATTAAAGGCTTAGTTTTATTCATTTGCTATTTCCGTTATTTAGATATGTAAGTCATCAAATTAAGTTAGCGACGTAATTGTTTTGAAATAAGTGATTTATAAATTCTATTTTTTTATATGATGATAATATTTCATTAGAAAAATATATCTGTTTGTTTTCTGATTTCGGAATCTCAAAACAGAAATGGGAATGTTTAAACTCTCAATTATTTTAAAAATAAGTTAATTCTGAATCACCTTAATACGTTGCCTTATTACTTAGAACTGTCCTATATGCAAAATGTCTTACAGCATAATTTAGCATAATAAACATGGGATCAAGTTTAATATAAGGGACACTACTCTAATTTAATTGATTAATAATCAATTTTATTAGTGGGGTCCCTTATACTAAACTTGATCCTAAACATGCAAGAAAAATAAGCCATTTTATTTTAAAAAATATAAGTTTTATTATAAAACAAGAACCAATTTATCATTTTATATTTGTAATTTCGTCTCATAATAATGTAAAATAAATTAATAAGTTAATTACTAGCACTTTAGATATAAAATATAACTTGTTTTTTTATATCAAAGTATTAACTATACTATTTAGCTACTGGAGCTAATCCAACTGTAAAATCTTCTATGTTATACACAGAGTAGACATTTCTTATAAATGAATAACCAACAGCCCATGAATATTCATCGACAACAGTTCCTATAGTAGGTTGAACTGAAGAAATACAATCATGGTCTGCAGATTTATAAATCAAGTCTGATGGCTCAAGACTATAACTAATTCCACCAAAAATATATGCTATTTGATCTGTTATGTTACAAGGTACATGAAAAAATCCTTTACTATCCTGTGATGATCCTTTAATGTACTTATGAAAGGTTACAACGTCATCAAATGGCATATATGTCATAAAACCTCCAATATCAAGCACAACCTTTCTTTTTCTGTAGTTAAGTTTATTGCCATTAATAGAAACATCGTCCAGATCAATCATCCAATACTTATATAAACCTTCAACAGCAGATACATTGTAATAGTTAAGATTTCCAGTAAATTTTGTCGTGTCAACATCACCAAGAGTTAATAATCCCATATCATTCTTATCATTTTGTCGATTAAGATAAAGACCATAGTATGGATTCTTAACAGCTTTTTGTTTAACCATGTTTGAAAAAGGTGATGTAACTCCTTCAGCGTTATTGCCGTCAAAACCCAAACCCAAAATGCCATCAAATTCTTCTTCGATAAATGAATCGCCTTCTTCAAGTGTAAGACCGAACATTTGATCTACAGTTTCTACCCCGCCTACTAAAAGATTGTCTTTTGCGATGACAGCACTCATTGAATGAACATCGGAATTTCCGTATGCCATAACGAAAGGAGTACCAATCAGCGTAAACGTTTTCGATAAATTTTCGTTGAATCGATTATGTTTACGGCAAGCAGGTGACGTACAATTCAGAGAAGGAATCTTATTTTTAAAATAATTCAGTATAAGTGACATTTTCGTTGTTAAGATAATGTAAGACCGTTCAAAGTTTTTTAACCTCGTCTCCCGAAAATGAACAAGCCAATCATAGCACAAGATCAATATGGCTAAAGTTCACAAATGGAATTTAAACAAATATTCTGTGGCATATGTGTTTGTTTAAATCTTCCTTTTCTTCCTTGTACTGAATTTAAAAATGTGATATTAAACAACTAATAATCAACTTTGAACGGCCTAAATTTTTTTTTTAAAAAAATAAAATAAAATACAACCCAAAGATCAGCACTTCCTGTGTCGAGAAGTACTGTAAATGTTTGACCACCTATACTAATTTGCGTACAATATCCATTATTTATTGCTGTAAGTTGAGCATATTTGACAAGTGAAGCAGAATTTGATTTTGAAGTAGGAGCACCATCTATAATACAGATAACAAGGAAAAACAAAATAATAAAGGCATAAATCTTCATTTACAGGAGTTACAAAATGAAAGAGTTTCAAGATAAGAGTGCGTTCAAAAATACGAAAGTATATCAATATGAATAATATGAATATATATTGAAATGGTTAGCTATAGTTGTCAAGCACAACTATTTTTTCGAAATACTAAAAGATGAAACTTAACCTCTGAAAGATAAAAATGACAAAATTCTTGCGGGATATCCGCGAATATGAAACCTTTGCGATGCGAAAAAAAATAAAAATATAAAAAAATAAAATTAAAAAATAAAAAATAAAAAATAAAAATAAAAATAAAATAAAATAAAATCCTTAACAAACAACAAACGAAGGAGTAAAATCCTGGTAAAGACGAAACTTCAATAAAGGATGAAATTAAACAAGATATAATAAAAGGCTATGTTGCAGCTGACCATTAATCCATCTGTTTATGACCTTCTGTTTACGAGTTAGTAAACAATAAGCTAAAGCAACGCCATAATGTGAACTTGGTTATTAAATATCCTAGCGACCAATAAACAAATATTAAAATATGAATTAATAAATAATGACTTTTTGTTTAACTTTGAATGAAAGACACTCATTTCTGCGTGGTGAAAGATGAAACTTCCGGCGAAAGACAAAATCTAATTCAAAATGACGAAACCACGAATCCTATACAAAACCTAAAATCAAATTGAAAAACCCTTGTACCCTCACTAAAAAAAAGAAAAATCGAATACTACATAACCTGCCAGATGTCAAAGATTTGACAAAGAAACAAACAAATATAAACAAAGCTAAGCTATTAATAAAAAATAAACTATGACTTATACTTTATATATATATTTTTTTTTAAAAAAAAAAAAATTTAATATTTGAGGCTTTCATATAAATATGGAGGCGCTATTGGCTTGACCCGGCTTGTATATTTAGTTCTTAAAAACATAAATAGTCAAATAAAGTTATTAATATCTCAAATATTTAAATAATAAAGTAAATATAGATGTATTATTCTTCCTCGTTATATTCGCTATAAAATTTTAAGACACAGCTTAAAGTTTAAAAATTAATAACTCTAAGATTTTTATTGAGTAATTCTCTGATAGGCAATATTAATATGTAAGTTGTAAAACGAAAGCTTGCAAGAATTTACAATATTATCTTAGCGAGTTTAGATCTATTAAATATTAATCTATTAATCGGTACATTAATATTAAGTTTACATAAGATAGCTGCGCAACTACATTGGCATGACCGGCAAATTATATTATCCGGAATTTTTTGTAATTTGAAAACAACTATCAGCTGAATTGTTTTCAATGAATTTGGGTCTAAACGAATGCTACGATTCATTGCATTGATCTGAGCTATTCATTTCGATTCGTTATCAAATAATGTGATATCTCGAGAACAGAAGTACCTTTTTTGATGATTTTGGATTTAAATGAATACTTCGAATCTTAGCATTCATTTAAGCAAAACTCAATAGCTACCCTTGCATTACTTTGAATGCTGATGAATGATATTTTTCTTACTGGTGATCCGTTTCTTCATCTTTTATTAATTTCGTTACCCTTTGCAGTTTCGTCACTTTTGTCACCTTTCGTCAGTTTCATCATTTCATCATTTGAGATTTTAATTGACAAAAGATGAAACCAGCCTCAGGTTTCGTCTAACAATTATAGTTGGCTGAGCTGATTTTTAAATATCGACTTAGTCAAGTTGATAAATTTAGGTTGACTATAAGCACCAAACTAGGGTCCTAAACATAAAATAGATTCGGCGATTTCAGGAAGAAAAAATTATGAAAAAATAAATATTGAACTATAATACAAACTCTATTGGTATAATAGTCTCTAAAAGTTTTTAAAATTATTCTGATTGATTAAGTGAAAAAAATTTTTTTTTGATTATTCAAAGCATAAATATTTAACGCAAAGCCAGAGTGGCGCTCAACTAATTAAGTCAAATATTAGTTAGGTTAGCATATCGATATAGATAAGTCGTATATTTAAACATTAAGTTTACTTTTTTTAGCATAAGTATCTAACAAATGTGCATATAATTTTTTCAATTTGAATCTATCAACTAGTTCTACACGATAATAGAGCTATTTTTTAAATAATTTTTTTTTTAAAAAATTTGTAAGTTAATTAAATTATTAATATTTAGTTAATATTTATATAATAATAAAATGATGTTAGAATATTTTTAAAAAAAAATTAGCTCTGTTATCATGTAGAACTAATTGAGAGTTTCAAGTTAAAAAAGAAATTATATATAATTGAAGTTTAACCATTAATAAATCCGAAATTAATGATCATTTGTTATCCTAACTAATATTTGATATAATTAATTGAGGCGCCACCTAACGCAAAGCCTATCTAATTGACTTTTTCGTTAGGGCTAAGTGGATATTTTATATAAGAACAATAAATATCAACAGAATCTGGACATCTTTAAAAATCTATGAAAATGATAGTAAAACAATTGAATTTTGCTGTATCAGTATTATTTGGAGTTTTTCTTTTGACAATTTCAGTCTTTTCAGCACCTGTAATACATGATTGTACATATGAAAAAGATACGTGTAAGATTGATTGGACGATTAAAGATCATAATTGTGAGCTTGATGGTTGCGGTGAACGGCCAGTTATAGTTGTTTACCACACTAATAGAAAGATGCCTAATTGTTCGGAATTTCCTGCGCCAACTATTTATATGAGACCAGGGCAGCGGATTCAAGTTTTGGTAAGAAATGAACTTAAAGAACTGACTACAATCCATTGGCACGGACTTTATATGAGGAATACGCCGTTTGAAGACGGAGTTCCATCTATAACTCAATGCCCAATTCAGCCTGGTAAATCATATTTATACGATTTTTATGCGAATGATGGACCTGGCACTCATTGGTAGTAAGTTGACGATTCAAATAATGATAATGGTATAGTCTAAGCTTATCTCATATTTATAATAATAGAAATAATGAAAATATAATATAAAATCTAGTCATTCACATTTTAAAACTCAGCGTCTGGCTGGATTTTATGGCATGATAATTATCAATGAGACTGATACTAGCTATAAAGACTATGTGGAACACAATGTAATTATATCAGATTGGTATCACGAAAAAGCAGAAATTTTATTAGATAAATACCAATATACGATCAGCGATTCACCTCATGACACAGTAAACTATGAGGTACGATAGTAAAACTTCCGGTTTAAAAAATCAGCTCACAAAATACATTACAATTTTATTTTTAATAGCCCGTTCCACACTCTGTTTTTATTAATGGTGAAGGCAAAGGAAATTGTGAAAAAAATTGTCATACTGAACCTTGTGAAGAAAATTGTACTGGAACCTCTGAAGAAGATTGTTCTGAATCATGTGAAAAAATTTGTTATACTTCAGCCGACACTGGAAACGTGTACGATTTGTCGAAAGGTGATAAACATCGATTTCGTATAATTAACGCCGGGTAATAATAAAAAATTGTCATACTCCATTATAACTTCTATTACCATAAATTAAAAGTATATATATATATATATCTAGTGCGCTATTAGAATTCTATTTCTCTATTGATAATCATTCGCTACAAATCATCGAGGTCGAAGGACATTACGTAGAACACGCCAATAATTCACAAACGATTTACCGTATGCCTATTCATGTTGCACAGAGATATTCGGTGATTGCAATCCGAGACCCAGCAGCACAGAACATAAAAAAATTTTGGATGCGTATAGAGGCAAGGACCGATTGCCTTCGGACATATACACCTTGTTGTCAAAAAAAAAAACTAGTTAAAACAATTCTATCGACAGTTAGTTACGATTCTTCTGAAGGAAAACCAGATACGGTTGCATGGGGTGACTTTACGTTTTGTTTTGGGTTTAATCTGTCTATGTTGGCACCAAAAAATTTATCATTATTACCACCATCAACAGTAAATAAAACTTTTAATTTGAACGTTTTCATGTTATCGAATTCGGATTACATTGGTTCAGGAGGTTACAGCTTAACCACAGTTGGGGAAGTGTTTGAAGGTAATATCCACGAGAAGTATATTGCCTATGATGATTTCCATAATACATTGGAAAATGTATACGCAGATACTTCTTCTTGGCCATCTACTCAGAATATTCTTACATTGGATACAAGAGACCAATTTATTGATATTGTTTTACATAGTATGTATTTATAATTTTAAAAAAATCATTACTGCTGTTTCAAACGTTTAATTTTCTCCTTTCTTTTTTCTAGATTTTGATGATATTGGCCATCCTTTCCATTTGGTAAATTGAATTAAATGGTTGATACTTTCTAGATATCACATGGTTATATTTCACATAGCAGCATTATATAACTATGCGACGTTTAGTTTTCGGGGTTAAATTGAAATGCGCAAGATGCACAAGAGTTTTTTTTTAATGTGTAAGAATTTGTAAAAAGATTCATGCGCATATAAAAGGTTTTTTTATATAGTCGTTTAAAAAAATTTTACTTGTGCATTGTGCATGTATATTTTGTTTGAATTTTAAACCCTGATTACATTATATTTAGGGTTATATAATTTAGCGCACCTGCACTGTAACGCACCTACCTGATCAACCAATCAGATCATAAGGTCAGGTGTAGCGTGAAATCGAAAAAAATAGCGATGTTTGCTTGTAACTCAACATTTTGCTTATGAAACTACCTTTCGTATTCTAACGAAAAAAATTTCTCTCAAAATTTTGGGCTAAACTCATTTGCTAAAACTCACTACCCTAACCTAACCTAACCTAACCCTAACCTAAGCCTCACCCTAACGCTAAACTACCGAATTAATTTATTGCTTGATTTCACGTTACACCAGATCTTATGGGTGCGTCAACGCATATGCGCTAAAATATAATATTCTTATATTTAATCAATAAACTTTAAGGCCAGTATGATGTCATTCATGAATATATATTTACTCATTTTATTTACATTTAGCATGGTCATGTTTTTTGGGTTATGAAGATCCATGATCAAGGCATAAACGTAGTTTACAAATCTCCGATTATGCGTGACACTGGGACTGTTCCAGCAAGAGGGTTGGTTTACAAATGCTTCTATTTATGTTTTTATTCATACATTATTAATTTCCTCTATTTTCTTAAAAGCAATACAACAATTCGATTTTCGGCGAATAACCCTGGAGTATGGGCTTTCCATTGCCATGTCGAGGTAAGAACGTTCTCTGTTATATTTATGATGAGTCTCTTTCAAAAAAGCGTAACCATTTTTTTCACATATTTAAGTGGCATCTTGAAGTTGGTATGTTGGCCCAATTTCTTGAACTTCCAGAAGAAATTAAACTTTTGAAAAAACCAACACTGCCGTCATGGGCAATAGAAGCTGATCCGAGTGTAAAATATTGGGACGATCTGTGCTTTTTTCCCTCTACCTAAACAGGTTCATCACACCAAGTTTGTGTATTAGTAAAGTACGGGACAGCAAAAAACATTTAATAGGTTGATTTTTTAAAAGCGCAAATTTTTAGAATTATATAATCATTTTTGATTAGCTAATTTAAATTTTTGATTGGCTAATAAAATATATTAGCAATTATATATGTATATATATATTAGGCACTAAATTTCTGAATATGAATATAAAATTTAAACTGAATAATTTCATAAACTATCAAAGAAATAAAAAATTTATTTAACAAAATTGATGGTAGTGAATACTATGATACTATTAGATGCATCTTGATAAGCTCTACAAATTTTATTTAATTTACTTTAGTTGTTAACTTAGTACAAAAAAAACTTTTGCTTGTTGTTTATATAGTATTTATAAAACCCTAATTTGTATATATAATTTGCATTATGTTATACTATAATCATTCTCTAGTTGACTAGTGAATCACTAATTAAAGTTTTTATAAAATTTTAAAATATTTATTAAATATAAACTGTAGCAAAGATTTTCATTACTTAAAAATATTTTAATATTTATTTATCAAATTTGATTAATATTTTGAATTTAGTTAAAAGAATCGTAATCTGGATTACATGAAGTAGTTAATTTATCTGGTATTATTATATGATTAAATAATCAACAGAAATAGAGATCAAGTGACTTTTTTAAATTTTAATTAGTTAAAAGACCAGAGATATGTAAGTATATATCTTTAGCTAGAAATATCTAGAAGAATTTTTAATTTATTAGTTTAAAGTTAGGGTAAGAGTATATATAATTAGAGTTATAGTAGAGTGCTTTAGTAAAGAATATAATTACTTTAATTTTATATAATATTCAATTTTGTATTTTAATTAGTTAATCAGATTAGCAATATATTACTATGATAATAAATTACAAAATTATAAAAATTTGTTATTTAAATTATAAAAAACAAAATTAAAAAAAATATATTAAATTTGGTTATCAAATATCTTTTTTATTTAAGGTTTAAAAGAATTAAAAAAATTAATATAACATATTTGTAAACTTTTTTGGTAATTATTTACATTAAATTTTCTACTAATAAAAACAAAAGTTTGCTAAAAATAAACAAAAAAGCATTATATAAAAACAGTTTGTATAAAAATTAACTATGAGGGTTTTCTTTTTCTATTCTTTAAAAACTCTCTTATATATTTAACATATAAATCAAAAATATTAATATACAAAATAAATAGCAAAAAGTAGCATTTTTATGTATAAAATTTTTTTAAAAAGTTTCTTATTAATAAAATTTTATATAGTTATCAATTTTTTTTTAAGCGATCCTGCTTTTATTTAAGAGAACTACTATGTGACAAACATACAATTTGTATTCTATTTTATAGTTTAAGCTCTATCTAATAAAAACTCACTAAGTAAAATACCTGCTATAACAACTATTAGTCTCACAAATAAATTTGAAACTTGCTTTAGATTTTGTATCATACAAAGGATACTCTCTTGATCATTTGACAGATTGTTGTATACCTTACTAGTATCTCTTTTTACCTTCTAATTTTTTTCTCTTCTTAAGAGGTACAAGACAAAAGGATAAAAATTTTTAACAAAAGAACTATAAAAATGACCAAAAAAAGAGAAACAAAAAAAAAACAATAATTTCTAAAAAGAAAAAACATAAAAAAAAACTAAAACCCTAAAGACACTATTATAGTATAACCTGTGCATAGCTGATAAAAATTATATAACAAATACAACATTTGTATATTTTTTCTGTAAAGCTTCATTTTAATAATAAATTTACTTTTCAACCTTCTCACTAACTTCAGATAGCTTTGTTGTTTGTCCTAATTTGTATGTTGAGCCAGGTGCTACAGTTATTCTAGAACCTATGTCTCAAGCCACCTGCTACCATAATTAGTGTTTTTAGACCAAGTCCTATAAAATAGCACTATATTCATTTATAAACAAATATGTAATTACATTCTATTAGTTCATCTGAATTTGAAAAATAAACAATATCGATCTTTTGGAGGAGGTAAGCCAAATCCTTTACTTTTTATGAAAATTTTTGAAAAATCAATAAAGAAGTGCAAGAGAGAGAAAAAGAAACCACTTGAATGAATAAAAGAAGTGTGGCTTAAGAAAAATATATAATTTGTTATACCTCTGGTTCTAAAGAGAAACCTTGTAGTTTTGTTGACAAAACTTTTGTTTTACCAAAATTTGCTATGGTAAAGAATACCACCTGCATTTTTCTCTTTCATATGCTTTGCTTCTGGCTTACATGCCAAATATAGAGCAAAGTCCTTCAGACCAGGTTAACCTTTATTTTTCTAAAATCTACTTTTAAAGTCTTTTTAGAACTATAGCCTACAGAGCTTTGTTGACAAATAGCTAGCTTTTAAGAAAAATAGTAATAAGTTTTTTATTATATTTCTTGCAATTTGTACAAATATTTTATTTTTTTTTCTGCTCTCAGCTATTCTTTTAAAAATTTTTAACAAAAAGTAAAAATTTAGTTATTTGTTTAAAAAATCAGTACTGCTTATATCTTTTTATTTTAGACAAACTTAGTAGTTTGTAGCTATATATTATATTGCAAAACAAATACTATTTTATAGTACTAAAATTAAGACCATTAGTTGAAAAGATATTCAAAGCAGGTTATATAGTTAAAAAAAATAATTTAAATTAAAACAAATCTTTATATTAAAAATATATAAAAGTTATTTAATATAAATTTTTATCTTGATACAAGTTATAATAGTACTATTTTATTTGTTTATTTGTTTGTTTGTTTTTTTTTTTTTTTTTTAAGCAATCTTGTCTTTATTTATTGGAACTGCTCATTAATAGAAGTATAGAGCACTTGCATTTTTAAAGCATAATGTTCTAATCTAATAAAAACTCACTAAGCAAAATGCCCAATGCGACCTGCTATAACAACTATTAGTCTCACTTAGAATTTAACACTTACGTTGAATTTTGTACTGACTAAGAGTACTCCTCTTGATCATAGACAGGTTGTTGTCTATCTTGTCAAAATCACCTATCTTTCTTTAAAACTTTTTCCATCTAGATCCTGGCAGAATAATTAAATCTTTTACGTTTGTATAAGGGAAGAAAATAATGCCAAAATTTATGAAAAATCAGAAATTTAAAGCATATACAAACAAGAATCGAACAAAAACTCTAAACTCTATCTATATATAAAGAAAAAAATATAGAAAAGCAAAAAAAGACAGGCAAACCTGACATATATAATAAAAGAAGGTACATTATTATAATCCGTGCCAGGTTGATAAAAATTATATACAAGAGAAATATCTGTATATCTCTACTATCCCTTAAACCGTCTAGCAGGCAAATTTGCCTGCTAAAATTATTTTTAAAAAGTTTTTTTAAAATTTATTTAAGCTTGACCCCCCCTATTTATTGAATAAAATTAAAAATATACCTTTTATATATAATATACTTAAATTTTATCATTCTATCTTTAATTTTGATAAAGATATTACATTTTTAATA